CGAAAAACATCCGGAGAAAACAATCTGAGAGAGAGAGAGAGAGATTGTTAAGGTCGACAGAGCCCACATACCACACCCTTTTCTCCCACACCACACCCTCTTCTCCCCACACCCTCTTCTCCCCACCCCACACCCCCTAACCACTGCTAGTCAGGAGTGTAAACAAAAAAGTATATATCTATCTGTCCATCTATCCAACCATCTATCTATCCATCTATCCAACCATCTATCTATCCATCTATCCAACCATCTATCTATCCATCTATCCAACCATCTATCTATCCATCTATCCACCCATCTATCTATCCATCTATCCAACCATCTATCTATCCATCTATCCAACCATCTATCTATCCATCTATCCAACCATCTATCTATCCATCTATCCACCCATCTATCTATCCATCTATCCAACCATCTGTCTATCCATCTATCCAACCATCTATCTATCCTCACCTAGTCAAAAACTGTAAACCGTAAATAGATGCATTTTTCCAGGTACAATTACGGGAGATAAAATTATCGTAAGAAACTATGGGAATAATGAGTAATGGGGAGGAAGGTCTCTCTCTCTCTCTCTCTCTCTCTCTCTCTCTCTCTCTCTCTCACCCACGGAGAAGGTGACTCATTACGGTAAATCATCTATAATCAATAAGTGATCATTAAGATCCAATAACTCCTTAATTATGAACATGAACATCAACCTTATTAGTTAACTGATACATTTGATAATAGCACTGTTGCACCTATATTGGGTGGTCGTGCACCAGTCCACAGGTTTAAGGCTCTTCAGTGAACGATGGGGAGGCTCTCTCTCTCTCTCTCTCTCTCTCTCTCTCTCTCTCTCTCTCTCTCTCTCTCTCTCCTAATATAAAAATACGACATGAACGGCCTCTTAAAGCTCGTCTCTCACACACACACACACACACACACACACACACACACACACACACACACACACACACACACAGCAGGTGATCTCGGCTAGGCAACAAGGGGTCGTTTTCGTCTGGCACCATTGATTATATTCACCAAGGTCTAAGAACTCTTAATTCGGTCGCCAAATTCATAAATAACTCTCAATATTATCTTCCTATATTTATTTAAGCTTATTATTTACATTTTATTAATGAATTATATAAAACACATTTACAGTATCAACATCAGCGTTTAATTTTTTTTTATTTAATTAAACTTAAATCTCTTGGTTTTTCTTTACAGTAAAACCTATATTATTTAACAGACTATATGAAGGTGAAAATCCGATATATCGAGTGTCCGTTATATATGAAACCTTTATCTAACGGATTATATTGAAATGAAAATCCGATATATCGAGTGTCCGTTATATATGAAACCTTTATCTAACGGATTATATTGAAATGAAAGTCCGTTAAATATGAAACCTACATCTAACGAACTATATTGAAATAAAAGTCCGTTATATCCAGGATCCGTTATATGGAGATACCACTATACTTAAAGAGAAAACATCATCGAGGTTTAAGACACCGGCAACAGGAGAGGAAAATTTGTCTTCTTCTTTTCGTGTTGTAGTGATGATCGATAAAGGTCAATTTGAACCTAAACGTGACGTGTGTGTGTGTGTGTGTGTGTGTGTGTGTGTGTGTGTGTGTCAACCAGTCTCGTTAAGCCCCTGGATAAGAAGGTAATTAGACAGGTATAACTCTCTGGCCAACACCTAACTCACTGGCGCCTCATTCCTTAAGCTTCTGGTGTTCGGATCGTCTTTTATAAGTGTTGGGATCCTCCTTTATAAGTGTTCGAATCCTCCTATATTGGGCTTCATTCGGTGTGTTAAGTCACTGAACGAAGAAGAATGAGAATGAAGAAAGAGAGAGAGAGAGAGAGAGAGAGAGAGAGAGAGAGAGAGAGAGAAGAATTACGAAATGGCGCCTATATGAACAAAACACAGACAAAGAAGAAGAAGAAGAAGAAGAAGAAGAAGGAGAAGAAGAAGAAGAAGAAGAAGAAGAAGAAGAAGAAGAAGAAGAAGAAGAAGATACTCGACAAGTTGCTCTCCTCCACGACCACCCCAAAAGTCACTTGGCATAAGGAAGCAAAAGATCTCTCATGTAAACACAATCGTCCACAAACTGACGCTGTCTGTTCCATTGTGCCGCCAGAGGAATATAACCCGACCTTAAGTGTGTGTGGTCTCTACTTGTCTTCATGCTTTAATATCCTGTTGACCTAAATCCTGCCACCCTCTACCCACCCACACCACCCCCGCCTCACACCCAGCCCCCGCCCATGGTCTTAAAACTCCTTTCTAAATCCAGCACTTCAAAGTCTAGTTGGTAATACTTGGAGTCAACAGAGAGGGAGGGTGGGTGGCAGAGCTTTGAGTGGTGTTACTCGAGGTATTGAAGATTGTTGAGTCTCTTAGGTGGAGGACGTGGTGTGGTGTGGTAGTAGTGGTAATGGTGGTAGTAGTGGTAATGGTGGTAGTATTGGTAATGGTGGTAGTAGTGGTAATGGTGGTAGTAGTGGTAATGGTGGTAGTAGTGGTGATAGTGGTAATTGGTGTAGGTAATGGTAAGAGAAACACCTACCATATACCCTGCAGTGAACTTTGACCTCTGGTGAGCCTTTACCCAGTAAGTGATTAAAGCCATTTGTGTATCCTTTATCTTACCTGGCTTAACACCTTAATGATATAAAGCTTACCTGTATCCCTCAAACATGTCACTATAATGGGGTTTGTCTTTCAGAAGCCTCGTAAATAAAACAACAACAACAACAACAATAATAATAATAATAATAATAATAATAATAATAAATGTCTCTTATTATTACCCATCTAAAGTCATCATAAAATCAATCCATTTCTATACATCAAAGTCTACGCATTTCACCATCCATATTTCGCTTACTCTATAATGTATTATTTCCCTTGTTGTTGACCTCTGACCTTTGACATCCAGCGACAGGGTAACCATAATACCCCAGTGACCTAGATATTGACTCAATGCCCCACCAGTGACATCCTGTTGACAGCCTCTCCTGCTGGTGGCGAGATACAACTGACCAACTGAATGAGTCTCCAGGTCAGATATGGTGGAAGTGTCTCTCAGTCCACCAGTCAGTCAGTAACTCGATATATAAATATAATCAATAATACTAATTTCCATATAGAAAGATTAAAGTATAATAATAATGATACTATTCAAATAATAATAACAATAATAATAATAAGGCATAGTATCCGTTATGCTGGGCTGCCTTAAGCTGTACAAGGGACCCTAAGTATAAAAGAAAAACTGATCTAAATTTTTTTCCAGGGTGGTGTCTGGCTCTGAGAAGTTCTTGCATTATAATAAAAAAAAAATTGAGTGAAAAATATTAATGTAAATGAATAATTCTTGAGGTGGTTTATAATGCACCTGGCGGTTTAATATTTGTTTTACTGTACCCTCTGGTTCTGTTAAGGATGATGGTTTAGCAGGGCGATGGTTTAACGGGGCGATGGTTTAACAGGACGATGGTTTAACAGGGCGATGGTTTAACAGGGCGATGGTTGCGAATATGACGATGGTTTAACGGGGCGATGGTTTAACAGGACGATGGCGCTAACAGGACGAAGATGGGGTTGAACAGGACGATGGTTTAACAGGGCGATGGTTTAACAGGCGATGGTTTAACAGGGCGATGGTTTAACAGGCGATGGTTTAAAAGGGCGATGGCCAACAGGGCGATGGTTTAAAAAGGGCGATGGTTAACAGGGTTATGGTTTAACAGGGCGATGGTTTAACAGGGCGATGGTTTAAAGCAGCGATGGTTTAACAGGGCGATGGTTTAACAGGGCGATGGTTTAACAGGGCGATGGTTTAACAGGACGATGGTTTAACAGGGCGATGGTTTAACAGGGCGATGGTTTAACAGGGCGATGGTTTAACAGGGCGATGGTTTAACAGGGCGATGGTTTAACAGGATGACAGACAGATAATTAAATAAGTCTTTTCCCTTCAGTTCATTCTTCTTCCTCCTTTATCTCTTCTTCTTCTCCAACTTTCTTTTTTTCCTTCATTCCCACCTTCGCTTTCTCATTTATCTCTCACTCTTCTATGTCTTCTTTATCTCCTCGTCTTCCTCCTCTTTTCTCCTTCTCATATTCTATTCCTCTCCTCCGCCTCCTCTTTCTCCTTACCACTTTCCCTTCGTCCTCCTCCTCCTCCCTGCCTTCTTCTTCCCACCTTCCCTTCTTTCTCATTCCTTCCCTCCTCCTCCTTCTTCCTTCCCACTTTTTCTTCCCTGTCTCCTCCTTTTTCTTTTTTTTTAATCTTCTCTTCCTCCTCCTATTCCTCCTTCTCTTCCTCTTCCTCACGTCCTGTCCATCGGCATTACATTGTTATTTATGAGAGGCCATCCGGTAGGCTGCTGAGAGAGAGAGAGAGAGAGAGAGGAGAGAGAGAGAGAGAGAGAGAGAGAGAGAGAGAGAGAGAGAGAGAGAGAGAGAGAGAGAGAGAGAGAGAGAGAGAGAGAGAGGGAGGAGAGAGATGGAACTCACCAAGTAGGGATGTACTATAAAATTATCAGTGACACGAAAAAAAAAGAATGAAATCAATCCTGCCAGAGAAAGGCGTCCTACCCAAGGCTCTAAAGACACAGAGGGGGGTGGGGGGCTCACAGGATGGGAGAGGAAAGTCATAGGATGGTAGGAAAGGGTTCTGAAAAAGGTTTAAGCTTCATAAGGGCGTCATCACTCGTCAGGTAGATCCTTGGTCCCTCCCTCCTAAGAGCTCTGACGATTTACGGGAGTCGTAAATATCCCCCAGAAGGCTGAACAAAATTACAAGAGAGGCGGGAGTGAGGAACGGGTGAGAGTACCTGAAGAAGGTGACTGGGGCGGCTGTGGGAGACAAGAGGAACTTATGGAAGACAGGACGAGACCGAAGGTTGTCTATAAAAGGTAGGAGGTGCCTGTAGGAGGTAGGAACTGCCTGTAGAAGGACTACTAAGGACACACTGGTACTCACTCGTTAGGCAGGTCCTTGGCCCCGTCCTCCTGGCCCGGGATGTCCACGTGTATGAAGACAGAGCGATCCTTCGTCTCTTTCATCACCGGGTGAGCCACGAACTCCACCCATGACGAGTCTGAAGGATACATGATACGTGGATAATGGATACATATGTGATTATGGAATTATTATATACACATACAGATACACTGAGAGAGAGAGAGAGAGAGAGAGAGAGAGAGAGAGAGAGAGAGAGAGAGAGAGAGAGAGAGAGAGCAGTACTACCAGATCAATATATCGACCTCAGGTGTTGTCATAAGTGTTCCCAAAACTGAGGAGTTCCCCTTGCGAGACATACTGTAAACCAAGATGACCTTTTGATGTTTAGAATTAGTTTATGTTTTTTGTTTTTTTAATAATTCTTAGTTAATTAAATGAAGTAAATTAATTGGAAATATTAAGGAAATAAAGTAGTTAATTAATTGTTTGAGAATAATGATAATTAATCAGTTACCTGTACTAGAGGTTAATGAGGTGTAGGGTTGTCTATATCTCTGTCTATCTATCTGTCGCATTCTCTCTCTCTGTCTGTATGTCTCTGTCTATCTATCTGTCTCATTCTCTCTCTCTCTGTCTGTCTCTCTCTGTCTATCTATCTGTCTCATTCTCTCTCTCTTTGTCCGTCTGTCTGTCTATCTTTCCACCTGTCTGTCTGTCTCTCTCACCCCTACAGTACCAAGCCACTAATCATCCCCCCAACAACCTAATTACGGAACGAGACAGCGCGCGCCCAGTGATCTCTCGAGCTAGGAACACTAACTACCAACAACCTAATTACAGGAATATGCCGTGACCCTTAATTACTTGCCCTATTTACGAGGTCTCCTTCACCACCACTGCCCTAGTTAAGAGTGCCTACGATGCCCTAACTACATCGTATCCCTAATATTGGGTCAAGAATTGGCCGTGATTAATACTAACAAGGCCCTTATTAACTATTACTAACAACCTTCTAACTACCATTACAGCCCTAAATCAAGGTGAAGGCAGGTCAGTCATGAAAGTACAGGTAACAACACTAAAATAACACCTGAGTCAGCACTAATTACCACACGAGTGCATGATGACTGACACACACACATGACAGGTCGGTAGGTGACCTACATACATACATACATACATATACATACATACATACATACATACATACATACATACATACATACATACCATGCATGCATACATACATACATACATACATGCATACATACATACATATACATACATACATACATAAATACATATACATACATACATACATATACATACATACATACATACATACATAAATACATATACATACATACATATACATACATACATACATATACATACATACATACATACATACATACATACATAAATACATATACATACATACATACATACATACATACATACATAACCTGCATTATACTCACGGTTGCTGCCCATGTCATGTACGGTGAGGAAGACGGCCCGGGAGTCTGTCTTGGACAGGTCACCCTGTTGAGGAGGTGCAAAGGTCAGGTCAGGTCACTATTATTGTTACTATTACCATTAATAATGGTAAATAATAACAACAACGACAGCAAGAATAACAATAATAACACCAATGACAATAACAATAATAATAATATTGAAGATTGATGATGATATATGTGTGTGTGTGTGTGTGTGTGTGTGTGTGTGTTCATAAATAATGTACACTAATTTAACCTTCAATAAATCATAAAACACACACAAACAACATCTGTCTGTCTCTATCTAACATCTGTCTGTCTCTGTCTATCTAACATCTGTCTATCTCTCTCTGTCTAACATCTGTCTGTCTCTCTCTGTCTATCACCAACACTGATCCCTTTAATATCATGGATGTAAGAAATACTGATGTCAATTTCAAGATGGAGAGAGAGAGAGAGTGAGAGAGAGAGAGAGAGAGAGAGAGAGAGAGAGAGAGAGAGAGAGAGAGAGAGAGAGAGAGAGAGAGAGAGAGAGAGAGAGAGAGCCTCCAGGGCAGCCACTAATGGTCTCCAACACTTAATGTATTGACCTGTCTTATTCAACTCTCTCTCTCTCTCTCTCTCTCTCATCACACTTCTAACCTCATAAAGGGAAGAAGAAGAAAAAGAAGGAGAAGAAAAAACCTAAAAAGTAATAAGAGAAGAAGAGGAAGAATACAAAGAGTCCAGGATAAAATAGCCCAGAAATAGAGGAAAGATACGCGATATACAGAAGGGGAGGGAGGGGAGGGTGAGGTAGTTCCCCCCTTCCCCCTCCCTCAATTTATGTAATAAGTGATGGGTGTGAGAGGGTGGTGGATACTGCCCAGTAATTACTACACCGAAGGGGGGCATGGGTCTGTGTGTGTGTGTGTGTGTGTGTGTGTGTGTGTGTGTGTGTGTGTGTGTGTGTGTGTGTGTGTGTTCTAACCTCCTGACTCAACCTACTAATATGTGTGATGCTGCCACCTTCCTCCTCCCCTTCCCTTCCCTCAGTGTAAATGGCGCTGAATGTCAAAGTATCTCTCCCTTTCATTCCTCTCCAGAACTCATCAAGTAATGCGGCTGGCTGTCTACGTTGCTTATTCAAGAGAAAATGAGAAGAACAAAAAATATCGATGTCAACCAATTCTGGAATCCTCAGAGAAAGACCAAAAGGACCTCTTCTTTATACGCCTTTACTCTTATTTACTTACCAAAAAAAAAAAGCAATAGTTGTCCAGATTATATATTGAAATAAGAGAAAAACTTAACGTATATTAAATCTTGAACAACCAGACCAAGATCCAAAGTTAGCAGAGGGAGTCGTGCTGGCGTTTAATCTTGAGTCATACACGTCTCCGGGGGGACTCACTCTCCAGCCTACAGTATGTGGACAACAGCCATTACAGGCAGCGAGAGCAGTAGCTGGAGGTCAATGCCCCCCCCCCTACCAAGAACCCGGGCAAGTGTGAAACCCATGACCCAGAATGGTTCCTTCAGCTGGAATACCAATGGAATAAACTCTGTTGGCCAAGCCTCGAGGGGGAGATTCACAGGCTCTGACTGCAGCACCCGTCCCTAGCTGAGATAGAGAGAGAGAGCCTGTACGGTGGGTGATCTCTCAGGGTCAAGGGAACACAGGAAGACTACTTTACCTGATGATTGGACACCTTAACGCTACTGGTGATGGGGGTGACGTTAGGTTAGGTTAGGTTAGGTTAAGTTAGGTTAGAGTTTTTTAGTATTTAATCATCAGGTGAAGTATACTGGGATGACTAATCTTCATGTGACCTGATCGAAGAGTTAAAATCATCAACAAGAGTGAGTGAGAGCTTTCTGGAGTCAGGTCACCATACCCTAACATACACCACCAGCCTGCACCACACACCAGCCTACCGAGAAATATATCAGTACAGGTTGCAAGAAGTAAAAACAACAGCAACGACAACAACAACAACAACAAACACTACAGGTTGCAAGAAGTAAAAACAGTATGAACAATTACCAAGACCTATCCAAACACTGGGTGATCACAAGCCAGTACCCAGAATAGTACTCAAGTCATCAGCAGTAATAAGCCACCTCACTGTATCAGACCTTGAGAGTGTAGCCTCAAGGAACACTGTTCGAGCATTTCTCCATAAGAGCAAGAATTTCTTTTGGGGTGGAAAACTTTAAGAAAAATGATCCACACACACACACACACACACACACACACACACACACACACAGACCTCTTTAGTGTCTCTCTGACGCTGCAAGAAAAACTGACCAACAGATAATTGAACTGAAAATGTATTGCACGAAACTGGAATGAACATTTTTTCATTCTGAAATGTTGTGTACGAAAATTGTGTCATGCCATCACCAACAACGAGCAGTGGGACGAAATAGTGTGTGTGTGTGTGTGTGTGTGTGTGTGTGTGTGTGTGTGTGTGTGTGGTGGTGGTGTGAGTGGACGTATAACAGTGGAAGTACAGTAGTATGGTGGAGAGGCTGTGGACAATAAACACAGGTAGTGGCAGTGATTAATGACTTACCTGAACGTGGACAGTGAAGGTTCTGCCACTGGCGGCTACCACTTCCATTTGCTGGAAAGAAAAGAGAAATAAAATTAATTGTTGATACCGTCATGCTGTCTCCAGGTGACCGTCTCTTCACCTGTACCCACCTGTAACTCACTATACCGTCATGCTGTCTCCAGGTGACCGTCTCTTCACCTGTACCCACCTGTAACTCACTATACCGTCATGCTGTCTCCAGGTGACCGTCTCTTCACCTGTACCCACCTGTAACTCACTATACCTATATCGATGACTGTTAAGGGTCCCATTTAATCTAATTGCAGTCATACCTGAGTGATGACACGACAGGTGGACACTAACAAGACACATAATTAACGTTTATACAGATAACATCAATTTGCATACAACGAGAGACTAAAGTTGAAGGCGGCGTCAACACAGAGCTGTACCACTTAGCTCGTTGGGGTCAGTTTCCTGTTGAAATTAATGCATCTTCTTCCCTCACAGTACATGGTGGATATGTGGTTGGAGGATTCAGGTGTTGTGTTGACTTGGATGGCATAAGTCAGGTGGTGTGTGTGTGTGTGTGTGTGTGTGTGTGTGTGTGTGTGTGTGCGTGTGTGTGTGTGTGTGTGTGTGTGTGAGAGGGTTATATCAACAGTATAAACGATATATAATAAACGCTTCACGCCACACCACCCGGACACAGCTTATCGTTGTTTATATTTACACCATAATCAGCTGTTATTTGTTATGATGAGAACAGCTGATGCGTGTTGATGTCTCGTCATAGAGAGTAACTCATTCATTCCATTTCGTACCGATTTGTTCGTTCACTTACTCATTTTATTTAACACGTCGACTTGATTATTATTTTAGTTATCATTAATGGTTATCTATTATTTGTCAAGATAACATTCGGAAAAGTTTTAGCAATTTACGATAGGCTATATTCCAATTTGTTTTCATATGCTTTCTTTTTCTTTCTATCTTTCTTTCTTTCACATCTATTCTAGTCTTTTACCTATTCTATGCTCTCTCTCTCTCTCTCTCTCTCTCTCTCTCTCTCTCTCTCTCTCGTCCTAAAGGCAAGCACTCGCCAACAAAACTCTTGGGTATAGCATCTTCTTGCCCCGGTATCTGGAAGCCAATCAGAACGAGTCATTCATCCTGATTGATAACATGGTGAGCTTCCTTCACTGGTTGATTTTTTCCTTCATTTTTCATTCTTCCTTTTCTTTCACCCGAATTCACCCCCTTTAAATGTATGTTAATTCCTTTATCTTCACTCATAATCCATTGCACTCACTTAAGGCCAGTTAACTTCCACTTAAACCGCCCAACTTTCACTTAAACCGTCCAACTTTCACTTAAACCGCCCAACTTTCACTTAAACCGTCCAACTTTCACTTAAACCGCCTAACTTTCACTTAAAACCCCAAACCCTTAGTTAAAACCACAAATCTTATTTAAAACCTCCAAACCTTTACTTAAAAACCAAAACCCTTACTTAAAACCCCAAAGCAATTACTTAAAACCTCAAACACTTACTTAAATCCCCTCCTTTGGTTTTTTACTCCACTTATACAACATTCGACCAAAAGAGTGTCATTGAATCCACTGTTAAAAGGGTTCGATCCCCCCAAAGCTCCGAGTGGTAAAATATAAACAATGTATAAAAGATTCGAACACTTTATCTGAACCGGTTAAGAGGATTATCAAGGGATCGAAACACGTGATTAAAGGTGCCTGATTATCTTGACGATCTTATTAATTTACATATTGGGGGTGGTGTGGGTTGAGGTGGTGTGGGTTGGGGTGGTTGTGGGGTGGGGTGGTTGTGGGGTAGGGTGGGGTAGGGTTGGGGTGGTGGCTGGGTTGGGGTGGTGGGTTGGGTGGGATGGGTGGGTTGGGGTGGGGTGGGTTGGGGTAGGGTAGGGTGGTGGTGAGCATGTGTGTGTGTGTGTGTGTGTGTGTGTGTGTGTGTGTGTGTGTGTGTGTGTGTGTGTGTGTGTGTGTGTGTGTGTGTGTGTGTGTGTGTGTAATATTATTATTAGTTATTATTAACATCCTTCCTTCCTTCCTTCCACCTCCCTGCCTACTTTTCCTTTCCTTCCTATTTTCTTTCCTTTCTCTCCACACAGTACACACCCGGCCACCATCTGTGATAACCATAACATGCCTCTACAGGTTTGGTAAACACTTTACTTCTCGGCTGATTCTCGTATTTTTCAGTTTACTGTGTGTGTGTGTGTGTGTGTGTGTGTGTGTGTGTGTGTGTGTGTGTGTGTGTGTTACCGTTTACATACTTGCCCTCGCGGTTTGTTTACATACCTCCTGGTTCTAAGCTTACACCCCCACACATTCATCTGTTTATAACAAGAGTGTCTCGTGACTCATGTGTCTTGGGGTTGGTTGTAATCTTAATACTAAACAGTGACGTCATGACCATCAGCTGTTATGTCAACAAATCGTTCATCAATACTAAACAGTGACGTCATGACCATCAGCTGTTATGTCAACAAATCGTTCATCAATACTAAACAGTGACGTCATGACCATCAGCTGTTATGTCAACAAATCGTTCATCAATACTAAACAGTGACGTCATGACCATCAGCTGTTACATGTCAACAAATCGCACATCGGTCACTACTACTATTACCATTTCTCCTAAACCTGACTCCTCTCACTCACTTTAAGAGGTGAACGCCCCTGTCACTTCATTCCTCCCTACCCTCCCTACTCTCTCCTCCCTTCCTTCCCCACCTACTCTCCCTCACTCCCATTCTTCGTCACTCTCCCACAATCTCCCTCGGAATCAGCCAATATATCCCAATTTTTGCGACACTGTGGGAGTAATTTTGTCAATCTTTTTACTCGTTTTCTGTGAAGATAAGCTTACGTTTTCTCCCGAGACCCCGCGGTTCATGAGGAGGGTGGTGGGGCGAGGAGGAGACGAGGGTGTGAGAATGAGAAATTGTATGGAAAGTGGAAGTGAAAAAGGTGGTAAAACTGTGGGTAAAAAGAGCAAGACTGAGACGAACATTACCTTTACTACTACTATTATTGTTTATACTATGACTATCACAACTATTACCACCACCATCACTATCTCTTACATTACAATACCAACACCTTTACTATCACTACCACCACTACCACCATCAAGTAGTAGGGTAGTAGATTTTAGATTTTTTTAGATTGCCCCCGAAGGAGCTAGTTTATTGGGCACCCCCATACATCCTATGCAAGGTGAAGCGCAGAAGCGTTTACAGCGCCCATCTGTGAAGCATGCGGAGTTCATGCTTGCCTTTATGACTCATGTGAGAGAGGGTGTGAGAGTCGGGTTGACCCCAAAGTTTACAAACAGTGCGGCCAGGCTCAGGGTTGCCAGTGTACTAGGCGTGGCGAAGTACAGGGATGGGGGGAGGTGATATGGTGTGGTGGGACAGGTACAGTAAGGGTGGTAGAAAGGGTCGGAAGTGGTTGGTGGTGGCCCCGGGCTGGCCCTGTGATGGTAAAGCTTCATCAGCAGGAAGACCTAAGGGCCCTCCACTCTTTGTCCCTCTTCCTGCCCTTCGCCCTTCCCTACATACATTGAAGTTGCATTATTCAGTTCTTGGCTTCATCATTAACAAACTAAGGGGAAAAATTCCTCCTCGCCTCCGACTCACTCACCCCACGACCGCTATAGTGCACCCCGAGATCGTCCCTTCAACCCTTCACCACTGACGCAGCGTCCTGGTGATAATATAAACCTCTCCTTGAATACGAACTTATACCCGTCCTTCCGTCTCTCTGTCTATCTGTCTGCTCTACAAGATGGCGTTTCCCCCCGTCCGTCCGTCCATCTGTCTGCTCTACAAGATGGCGTTTCCCTTCAATAACATTCAGTTTTATATCACAGGTATAGGAGCGCCAAGTCCCCGTCTTCTATAGCCTGGTAGACTTGGGCAAATATTTGGAGAGGACGAACAAAACTTCTCTAGGCGTTTAGGTTATATTGAAGAACCCTTTGATGACGACGGTTCAGTTAAGCCTTTGAGGACGATGGTTTAACCTTTAGGGGACGATGGTTTAACCCTTTGAGGACTATGGTTTAACCCTTTGAGGACAATGGTTTAACCCTTAGGGGACGATGGTTTAACCCTTTGAGGACTATGGTTTAACCCTTTGAGGACTATGGTTTAACAGTACAAGACAGATGACACCACTCAGAGAGAGTGAGAGAAAGTGAAAGACAGCGAGAGAAAGACAGTGTGAAAGTGAGAGACAGTGTAAGAGAAAGTGAGAGACTGTGGAGAGAAAAATGAGAGACAGTAAGTAAAAAAGGAGACAGTGTGAGAGAAAGTGAGAGACTGGGAGAGAAAGTGAGAGACAGTGTAAGAGAAAGTGAGAGACTGTGAGAGAAAGTGAGAGACAATGTGAGAGAAAATGAGAGACAGTGTAAGAGAAAGTGAGAGACAGTGTAAGATAAAGTGAGAGACTGTGAGAGAAAGTGAGAGACAATGTGAGAGAAAGTGAGAGACAATGTGAGAGAAAGTGAGTGAGAAGGTGTGAGAAGAGTCCATGACCTTATTAACTAAATCGGTTCATAATTATTGTCATTCATTATATCTGTGAGAGAGAGAGAGAGAGAGAGAGAGAGAGAGAGAGAGAGAGAGAGAGAGAGAGAGAGAGAGAGAGAGAGAGAGAGAGAGAGAGATATTGTGTAAATAAGGCGTCTCCAAACCTACTGTGAAGCGGGGGAGAGGGAGAGAGGGAGTGGTTGAGAGGGAGACTATGGGAAGGAGGGGTAGCCAGTGTGAGAGAGAGAGATAAAACTCAGTCACAAATCTAGAGAGAGAGAGAGAGAGTCCTATGCCACATCAGGAACCATGCTTGTATTACCTGGTTTGCTAATTAATAAATACACCTGTCTCACCTCGTCACACCTGACACACATCACTGGCTGGCGCTGCGGGATCATTATTCAATATTTCGTGTGTGTGTGTGTGTCAAACTGGGGAAAACACTCCGATAAGGGATTACTGTACAACGTCCCCCCCCCCTTTCCTCCCTCG